TTTTAGTATTCTTAGGGGATATTCTTTATTTTATCTTATAGGCTTTATTCTTTCTTTTAAGAGCTAGTTTCTCTTAACTTAAGCTCTTTATTAATTTATTTAAGGTCTTTCCTTAAAGTAGTAATAACTCTTAAAATCTTTATATTATATCCTTTATTCTATTTATATTAGATACTAGGTTATATAGCTATATTAGTTAATATATAGGTCTTATTAGTCGATTTTATTATATCCGCTAGTTCGGTTACTATTTTTATTTATATCGCTAAAGCCTATAATAATTTACTTAAACGGTTATCCTTTTTATCTTATTTAGTAGCTAAATTATCGTAAAAATTTACTTTCTCCTAAATCTACTAGTCTTAGAAACTTATATCTTTATCTTAATATAGCTAGCTAGTTTTCTAGTTAATTAGTAGGTTGCTCTCCTATAGCTATAGAAGCCTTAATATAAGGTTATATTCTTTAATATCTATAATATTAATATTAACTTATTCGTCGTAGCCCTAGATATTAATATCGAGGTAATTAATCTCTATATTAATAATTCTATTATTATAGTTAAAGGCCTCTCCTTCGATATTTATAAGTTTATATAGATCTTTCTTATATCTCTATATAAGTCGGTAATAATTAATAACTCTAAGTAAAATATAATTACTTATTACGCCGTAATCTAAAAGTATATATATATAATATCCCGCGATTTAAATATCTAATACTATTTAGTCGCTATAGCTTACTATTACTATATATAGGGTCCTTAGATCTTATTATATTATACTAGTCTATAGCCCTTTTATAAATAGTATACCTTGTTTTTTACTTAGTCCTTATTTATTTTATTTAGGTATTCTTCTTTAATTTATTATTAATATCGTTTCTTTATATTTTCGTCGCGTAGTATTATATTAAGGCTTAAGAGACTAATTTCTTATAGCTAATCGAAGATTTCTTATTTCTTAACGCTATATTATTTATATTATACTACTTTATAGTTAATTATATACTATACTTTATAATTTTATTTATTTTTATACTAAAGGTTAAGTTTTCGTTTAGCGTCTTTTTATTTTTTATATAGTATTTTTATATTAATTCTTCCTTAGTTAAATATAGCCTATAGCCTTTATATATATTACTAATAATCTTTTAGTATACTATTATATTATTTATACTATACTTATGCTTTTTTATATTTATAAACTCTATAGTTTAGGTATATATATTTATTATAATCTTCTTTATTATATTTAATTCGTTATATAAGTTTTTAAAAGATTAATAGTTTAGATACCTTAAAGTAAGTAGCGTTATACTATTCCTTTATTTTAGTATATTTATAGATTTTATATATCTCCGAAAGATATCTTATTAATTAACTATAATTATCGCGGTATTTAAGTAGCGTACTATAATCGGGTTCTAATAATATAACTTAGTCGTTTAGGTAGCGTTAATTAATTTTCTAGTAGTCTAGTTCTATACTTAGGTAGGGTTTCGAAAGTACTTATCCCTCGAACCTAACTAAGAAGGCGTCGTATTATACCTTTATCTAAAAGTATATTATATAATTTAGGTAAACGTATAATATCTATAAGATATACTTATAGTACTTATAAGTAAGTAGTATTTATAGATCGTCTTTAAATTCTCTTTATAGTTACTATTCTCGTTATAAAGCTATAAGGGTATCGACTATAGTAATAGCTATAGCGTAGTCTCCTTTATATAGTGCTAGTTAATATCGAATTAATATAGCTTATTAGTTTTCTATAAGAATTTAAGGTATTTATTAAGTTCTAATTTTAAGTATTTCTTTAAATTCTTTAAAGTATAGAGCGTGTTTTCTAATTATAGTATTTTCCTTTAATAGCGAGGGTAGTAGTATAAGTTCGTTCTTATCTTCCGTTTCTCTAGGTATTTCTTATTCTTTAAAGCTTATATCGTCGATACTTCGTTATTCCTCTTTAAGTTATTATCTAAGTTTTATAAGTATAAGGGCTATATCTATATCTTCTTTATTATATTACTTATAAACTACTTATTATTATTATCGATTTTTATTTTATATATCCTCCTAGAATTATTTACCGTTCTTCCTAATCTAGTCTTAAGAGACTCCTTTAAGATAGGGGTATTTTAGTTTTATAAATTTAACTTATTTCTATATTTTAAGATCCCTTTATTATACTATTATAAGGGTCTTTTTTAGTAGCTTTAAGAACTATCTAATACCGTTCTTATCGCTTAGGTATACTATATATTTATCGTCGTAGTATATAGTTTAACTAAGGAGTTTATACTTTAGTTCCTATTTATTAGTAGCGTTTAGGTATTTCTTACCTTTTAAGGCTAGTATCTAGTAGGTTTTCTCCTCCTTATAAGGTTATCTATATTCCTTAGAGTAATATCCAAGTTTCCTATAGTTAAAATACTTTCCTTTACTTTTTTATATTACGTTTAGGTCTATCTTACCTAGGTTAGTTATATAGGCGTAGGCAATAAGAGTTTCGCGCTTTTTTTTATAGTTAGTACGTTAGTTAAAGTTATTCTTATAAGAAGGGTTCTAGTTTCCTCTTCTTTATTTCTTTTCTTAGTATTATATATACTATCTATCGTTAATTTATACTACTATAGTAATATAGTCTAAGAGGTTATTAGGTTAATTTTCCTTATAAAGCTCGTCCTTAACTTCTTCTTTAAGCCTATCGTAGAATCGTAATATAAGAGGTTCGTCGTCTTAATTAAGCTTTAAAGTAACTTAATAAAACTTTATAGTATAATCTAATACTAAGATCCTTTATCGGAGTTCTTAAAGTTTTTATTTAGCTTCTTATTCCTCGTTAGTTATTCTAAATACCTTTATAATAGCTTCTTTAAATCCTTAGAAACTAATAAAGACTTTATCTATCTTAGTATCTTATTATACTAGTTAGTTATCGAGAAATTCCCTTATAATAGGTCTAAACTAAGTAAGTACTATTTTAAATAAATAATTTCCTATATAGAGTACCTTTTCGACTAAGTCTAAGAGTTTAGTAGGGTAAAACTAGTAGTAAGCCTTAAGTTAGGTAAGAAAGTCTTAAAGCGTGCTATAAGTACCGTCGAATAGTCCTAGCTATTTTAGTTTAACTACTTCTCTAAGGTCCCTAACTTATCCGTTGCCTCCTCCGTTCCTAAGTAACTATACCTTATATCGAAGGGTAATAATCTCGCGTATTATATCCTAAGGCGATATAGTAGCTCTAGAGTTAGTTAATCTAGCTTACTATATAGGTATATTAATAGTTACGATATTACTTAGAGTAACGCGGTATTATACTAAATAAGAGCTTTTAAAGTATAACGACTAGTATTATTCCTAAGGGATAAACCTATTAAGGGGTTTATATTAGTAGATATAATAAGGCGTGGTCTAAGTAATAATAAGTATATTACGTTAGTAATAAGTTAGAGGTCGTAGACTATAGACTATAACTAGGTAATTAGAATTAAAGATAGAATTATAATAAAGATCTATATTAAAAGCTATCGAGCTATCTATCTAAAGAAGTAAAAGTAGGTAGCTATATATACCTATAGAGACTATCCTTAGATTATAGGCCTAGCTATAATCCTTAATTATTAGATCGTATAGAGCGTAGTAATCTTATTAATCCTAGATTACTTAGATCTCTACGATCCCCTCGATCCTATATCTATTAGATAGTCGTGCTAACTATTTATCCGTTAGACCGTATTACGTGCTTAACGCGGTCGACCGTTAACGGCCTAGTAGCCGTAGTTATAATAGCTAGCTATATATAAAAGAGCTTTATATAGCTTATTAATATTATCCTATAAATAGTACTTATATATATATCTTTACTTACTTTATAATATTTATTAATACTTATAATATAGCTAGATATTTATTAGTTTTACTATTAATTATATTTAAAGAGAGTTAGTTATACTAGTATTCTTATAAGGTTTTAGCTAGTATTTTTAGCTAAATATTATTCCTTTATTTCTTAGTTATATAATATCTATTAGCTTAATTAATTTATAATAATATAGAAACTAATAAGCCTTTTTAATTTATAAGATAAGACTTTTTCTATAATTAATAAAGTACTATTAGCTTATAAAATTAAGAGAGTATATTATAGCTACTTTATTAATAATAGGAAAACATTTTTCCTTATAATATATAAAGTATAAAAGGGAATGGGTTTCCCTATTAATATATCTACTTATAGTTACCTAGATCTATAAAGTAACTTCTTTAGCATCCTATAGGTTAACCACCGCATTTAGTGCCTCCGGATGCGGCGAGGGCATCAGCGCTGCTTCTAGGGATAAAGGGGGCGCTCCTATAAGTGCGTGGGGGCGCGAGCCCAACCTTTATTCCTATACATTGGTCTGTGTCCTACTAGGCCCCTTGTTAGGCCGTGACACTCCCCCTCTAGGAACTTATATTAAAGGGCTCCGTATTAGTTATAAAACTATACTAGCTATAGAGTAACGTTTATATAGATTAAAGTTAATAACTTAATTAATATCGTAGAAGTCCTAGATTGATTCCCTACTTGGGCGCAGACTTCCTCTGCTGGCTCTAGCGTGGCGGGGTTATCTCGCACAGTTCGAAGAATTTAATCGCTTCAGGAACCGTTTGCTGCTGAGCCTCTGAGAAATCAGATTAAAGGACTCCGTTCTCTCTAAATATTATAAGAACTGCATCTGCAGATTCAGGGCCAGATCTGACTAGATTGATCTGACGGCAGCGCTGACTCGAACAAAGCGTTTATGCCAAAAACAAAAATCACTGTCTGTAGACTTGGGCAACGAGCGGATTTAGTTTCCTATCTAAACGTGTGCTGGAACTGCTTTTTCGTATCGTAAACTAATCCCCATGACACAAGAAGCCCTCCAGCGACTGAAAGTGTACTAAAGAATGAGCGGCCTGACAAACTGTCAACGTCCCCATTCTCACCCTGCTTCTTTCCTGTTGCTCATTAAATGTTGAGCAGGCGATAAGCGTCGATGGCCTCGTCAAACTTATAGTCTATGCCCTGGATGAAACCCTTGGCTACGGCCTGTAAATCGCCGGGTATTTTGGCGGCGACGCTGGCGCCGAACGTGTTGGCGGCGTCCTTGTGCAGCTCGAGATCGAGGTGAATCACGGGTCTAAGGAGTAGGTGATCGAACTTGGGTTTGGCCGCGACAAGGGTCTCGAGCGTGACATTGACCCGAGCCGCGAGATCCTGCGTGGCTTTACCAATCTGAGCTGACTCGTTCATCGTCAGGGGCTCCGAGGCGTAGGCAACTCGCGTGCCCTCAAGTAGTTCCCTATACAACAGGGCTGCCTGGACCGAGATTGGCAGCACGCCGAGCGGGTTGCCGCGCCAGGAAAGGATGATATTGCTGAGCGCGTCCGCCTGAGTCCGAGCACTGCTAATGGCGCCGGCGATCGCCTTTTCGTCGGCGAGAGTCGATCCCGCGAGAGCGAAGGCGGAGAGGAGCGTGGCGACAAGCATAATTGCTGGTTGACGAGTGGGTTCTAATTTATGTGACTTGTAAGAAGCAAGCAGAGAATGTGAGCACGATCAAGTGTGAGGCAGACGAGCGAAGAACTGATGGCTTGAGACTGCTCTCTTAATCTTGCTGGTGGTGGTAGTCGTCGTCTTTATATAGTTGATGGTATCGGCAGCAGTGGCTAGGCCTTTCGGCATCTCCCTCCACGTTGGCCCTTATGCCGTTCTATTTTACCGAACCTCGTTCGATTTTCCTGCAGGAACAAAAATGTTGGTGTTAGTGTGTGGGCCAATGCCGGGATTGTGATAGACACTTTTGAGTGAATCCTAGCCAGTGCTAGTCCGAACAAACAATTCCAGCTCAGGATTCAGACCATTAAACCAATAGCCAATGGCCCTTGCAGCAGCTGTATGCTCTGATCAATCATCCGCTATAGATGCTGCGACGATTCTTGCCATGAGCTTGTGCATCCATTGGTGGCTGAGCGCTTGAGCGTTGACGCCCTGCAAGACAGCCGCTGTTTCATATGGGACACGGCAACTGCCGTACCGGATCTGGGTTTCCCGTGGCAAATCCAGCTTGGCATCCGGAGGTATCGGATGGAGGAGACTGACGACCATTCGCGGTCTGTACTGTAACACGCAGGCGGAAACGATTACGCTGTCTCGTTAAAAACCAAATAATAGTTCCTTTCTAAGTGGATATTACTGCTGATCTCCTCGGCTCGCGATCACCTCGGCCCGCACCGACTGGTAGAACCGGGGGCTATCAAGGCTTACATTTTCGACGGCCACAAACGAGCACCCGGACTCCGCGGCAGCGTTTACGGGATAAGGCTGCCCCATATTATTGGTGTAAGATCAACCTAAACACGCGGTCGACTTGCCGATCAAGGTGGGCTCTGACACGTGTAAGGAGCCTTTGCGGGATAGCCACTGGTTCCACCAGTCGGCGTGGGCCGAGGAGATCGCGGGCCGAGGAGATTAGTAGCAATCTCCACTTAGAAAGGAATTATTATCTGTTTTACGGAGGAAGCTTTCAATAGTCGTTGCTGACGCTAAAATAACCCCTGTTAAGAAAAAGGAAGAACGTACTAAATTTCTATGGCTCTACGAAGTATTCCCTGCTAATACCGGTACTATCCCTCCTTCCCTCTCGATACTCATTGCCGCCTTTTAATTTAATGATTTTCTGCATATGCCGAGGAATTCGCTCAATCTAGCCTTATATCTTCTCTTACGGAAGCTCTTTCCAAGCTGCCTCCCAAGCAGAAATTGCTTTAGCCCGGCTTTTCGGGGCGCCTTTTTTCGTAGTATCCGTAGTTCTTTTTAGCCAAGGCCAGCAAGGCTCAATAGCATTAAGATCAGGCGAATTGCCACACCAAAGAAGGCGCCGGACTTTATGTAAGTCGTATACCTGCTGCTAGATATAGTGGTTATGAGCCGGAGCTTTATCTTCTTATATAATTATCCTAGGAAGATCCTTCTCGCATTCCTTTATAAAAGGAAAGAGCTTTAGAATTAAGATCTTAGTTTAGTAGCGATACTAATCAATGCCGCCGCGCTTAGGGCTTCGGGAGAGCTTGCCGTTCTTTGAATTCCATCGCTACTTAGGCTTTAGTCCGGGAAGCTGCCGTAGGTTTAGTCGTCGTATGCCGTTATTAAGTTCCCACGTCTCTTTTATTAAGGGCTCTAATTCCTAGTTTATTTTCGCGATATCTTCTTCGGAAGATTTCTTCTCCGTAGTAGTCTCTAGAGCCTAATAGTGATAAGGGCCCTTTTTATCGTAGGAAAAGCAGCCCTAGAATATAAATTCGGAGGATCCTTTCTATCTCTCGCGAATATAGCTACGAACGAAACGTTCGTTAGCTTTTCTCTAGACGCGATAGCTTCCTCGGCGGTATAAAAGAATAACCGAAGTCTCGTTAGACTAAATAACCTTCTTTTAATCCTTAAGGGTCTAGTCTTTATACGAGAAACACTACTCGAGTCGGTCTCTTATTATCTTCTTCGTTAATCTAGGCTTCCTCGTCGGCTTAGTCTTCTAGAAACTAGCTTTCTTTAATACCCTCTATATAGTAATAGAAGACACTAAATGCCCTGCTAAATTAAGCTCGGCAGCAATATTAGTGTAGTTTTTTTCCCTTCTATACCGGTCTCGGCGAACCTTCTTAAAAACCTTATTTTTAATAGTAGCTTGCTTAGACGGACGGCTAGAACGAGGAGCATCTTAAAGCTATTCGTCTCGTATAGTTAACGGTAGCTAGTTTAGCTAGAAGCCTCGCTTAATTGCTCGAGCGTATATACTATTAATCGTATGAATCGAAATTCCGGTTAAAGAAGAAATCTCTGCCGATAATTTGCCGCTATAAGGCGCCTTTAACGTAATAATTAATGCTCGAGTTAAAATATTAGTCTTTATTTTATAAGAGAAATAATAGTTAAGTAAAGAAATTAAGGGGAAATTAAGGGGAAATTATAGATATAGGAGGAAAAGTGCGTGTGCGGGGTTCTTTATTCTTCCTTTTTCTTAACAGGGGTTATTTTAGCGTTAGCAACGACTATTAAAAGCTTCCTCCGTATAGTTAACGTTATCGTTCCCGCCTGCGTTATATAAACCGTAAACGGTCGTTAGTCTCCTTTATATAAGTCAGCGGTCGCTTTACTAACGTAGCTGATTAATTCCCACGACTATTACCTACTACAAAGTATCTAACCTCGCGGATGAGACTATTCTTATTCTAACTCCTAAGGCACTCTATTATCTTAATAGCCTTTACTTTTAGACGTGCACGGTCGTCGAAAAGCACTAGAAAAGATGCGTTTAGCCTTATCTAATATAAGCGTAATTAAAAGTATATTTATAGCTATTAGGTATTTAGTTATTATATAAAAGGGCTTACTATAATCTTATATTAAGAAGCGTTAATAAACTTCTCTAACTTATCCTTACCGTCGTCCGCACCTATTATACTATAAGACTATGCTAGCTTATAGTATAACGTTATTAGGATATCCGATGTCTCTACTAAGACATAGGCTATAGGAAGACATCTATACTAATCCTAGATCTGCTTAACCTTATTAATTACACCGTCGTGCTAATCGACGTGCTAACTTTAGTAGAGGTATTTAAGGCGCTTTAAAGGATATAAAAGTAATTCTATAGAGTATTTAGGCGACTTATCGATCTTAGAGTAGGACTTACTATATATTACGGGGCTAGGGCCCTTAGTTAGTTATTTAGTTACTAGACTAAACGTTCTTATATAGTTAATTAACGAAGCTATCGCTTAGTTAATTCTATTCCCTATTATTATACTACGTGCACCTACGCCGTTATAGTAGAGGGGGGTTAAGTAGCGCGACTACTACTTTTACCCTTCTAAGCTAAGACCCTTATACTAAGTATAAACTAGCTACCTAATATAAATAGAGTAGATAAAAAGTAGGTTACTATAATACGTTTTCTATACTATATTAAGTTAGTACTATTAGATATCTTACTAAATAAGATTAAATAAAGATATTTCTTAGTATCTTAATAATATTTAAGTAAAATATTTATATAGTATACTATAAGAAGTACTAGTTATTATAAAGTAAGTAAAGGTATATATATAAGTACTATTTATAAGATAATATTAATAAGCTATATAAAGCTCTTTATATATAGCTAGCCTATATAAATATATATAGGATCTAGCTCTCTATATATAACTATATAGCTTAGGCTATAGCTTAAGCCTATAACTTATAATAGTTAAAGACTTTTATATAATACCCTTCCTTTAGTATAGCGCGGCGCTACCTTATTAGCGGCTTTTATATAATTAAGCCTAGGCCCTTTATACCGCTAGCTTTACTTTAGTATTTTTCGTTAATTATACTAGCCCTGCTAGCCTTATTATTTCCGCGCCTATTAACCTAGGTAGCTAGCACCTAGCTCTATACTTATTAGCTAGCCGGCCGCTTAAATAAGGGCGTACTTTATTATACGCGCCCTTAAGCGGCTAGCTTAGATATATATAAGCCTTAGGTTACCTATCCCCTTAACCTTAAGTAGCTTCCTTTATTAAAGGGTATATAAGGCGGTATTTTAATAGGTAAGATCGCACCCCTATAAACATTAGCCCGTTAGAGGGATAAGACCCCTAGCACTCCCTATCTAACTTACTTCTAAGTATACTTAAAGGCTTTATAAAGACCTTAATTATCTAATAAAGTATCTTCCTTAATTATAGTTAATTTAAATTTTTATTTTTCCCCTTTAAAGTAAAGGCCGCTAGTTACGCGACTCTAGTAGAGATAAAAAAGTATAGAGTAAAGAAATCTCTAAGACTTATATTTATAACCTAAGACCCTTAGAGCTATATATAAGACCGATAATTAAATAATTATATAGTTAATTACTCTACTAATCCTTAGCTAAATACTACGCGTACTTTAAGTATATACCTTTATCCTATTAAAACTAGTTTCTAAGGCGTAAACTTATTATTCTATTTTATTTATATAGCGATAAGTAGCTTTATAAAGCTAAGAATACTTAGAGGACGATAGTACTATTTAGAAAAAATAAAATCTAGGGATTTAATAATTAAAGTAGTAACTACCTTAATAGCTAGAGTTAGGGACCTAATAGGGCAATAAACTTACTAGGAAATAAGTAATTAAATAAAACCTTTATTAGTAGTAAAGGAAAAGTAATAAGCTAATACTAAAAAACCCTAAGCTCTTATTATTAGCCTTATAACCCTTAATACTAGCGACTTAGTTAAGAAACTATAATCCTTATATAATACTTTAAAAGATATAAATAATAATAATAGCGTAATCTAAACCGTTCTAGAACCTTACTAAGACCTCTTACTTATATACGTACTAATAATACTAATATAGGTATTAACGAGGGATACCTTAATAACCTTAACCTTAGCTCTCCTTTATATAATAGCTTATAGAGAACGCCTACCTCCTATTAATAGGTAAGAAAGTAAGTA